GGAACAATAACCATCCGCCAGAAAAAAAATACTGAAAGAGGGGCCCACTGTCGTTCCCAGTATCTGTCGATTCCTTATTTATACAACTCTAGATGAAGAAGGTACAGGAAGAATAGACTTAACTATTGATATATTATGCACCGACAAGCACGACTAAACCTGTCGTTTAACAATAAAGGATAGGGGCCAGGTCCCGGAGTGTGCGTGACCTCGCCTCCTAGAACGCCTAACTTTGATCCTATGTGATACATGCCGTTACACCTGGTGCGTGGACGGGTGCCTAGAGGGTCAATACGGCGCTTTCTATGACTTATTAGACAAATATGGCAGGCTGTAGTACATAGATCTTTTTCCTTGTTTTAGCGAGCCTCGGAAAGCGGAACACCGTCCCCTCCCCAGGCCCCAGTCCCTGCCCCGGGGCCGGACGCGCCGAGGCCGCCCGAGTCCGGCCGAGGTGGGGTACGGCAGCGGGCGTGGGGCCGGGCCGGGGGTGCGGCGCTCCCGCCGCGCGCCCCTCGCGCTCTCCCCGGCGCTGCGGTCACATCCGGAAGTTCCCGGCCCAGCCACTTAACCCGCTGTCGGCCGGCGCGGGGCGGTGCTGCGGGCCGCTCGCCCCCGCCCGGCTTTGTACGGAGACCGGGCCGCTCCCGCCCTTCCCGGCGCCGATCCCCTCCCCTCCTCCGCCCGCCTCCGCGTCCGCGTCCCCGCCTCGCTGGGAGACGGAGCCACAGTAGGGAAGGAATCGGCCGCCCTCACTGAGTGTCTGCGCCAGCCCCCTGGCCGCCATTCCTCGGGACACAGCCTCTGGCTGCGACCCTCCGTGGGGGCAGGTGTGTGTGTTTCCGTAGGTACAGGCGGCCGTGCGTGTGCACGCGTGTGTGCGTGAGCGTGTGTGTGCCTTTGTTCCTCCATCCCTTCTAGAAGGTCCTTAGCCTGGGGTCCGTGGCGTTGGCCATGCTGAAGGCACATCCCGTACCTGGAGAAGGCCCACGGCTTCCATCCCAGATTTGTCTGCCCAGGACTTACTGAGTGCCTGCTATGTGCCAGGCCGCGTTCTGGGGACATCCTCGGGAGGGGAGGACCGGTGTTGTGGCCTCACGGTGCCCGTGTTGGATTGAGGCTGCGCTGGGGGAGCGAGGAAGTGCACGGGTGCACAGGGGTAAGATGACCCTGGAGGGGCAGGTGCTCTGCAGAAAGTGGGCCGGGGCCCTTGGAGGAGGTGACTCTTGGGAGCAGATACCTGTAGGTGAGGAGGCAGCTGACAGCCTCGGGGCATAGCAGGTGCACAGGGGTGACAGTGGGCTGGTGCCGCGGCTCACTAGGCTAATCCTCTGCCTGTGGTGACGGCACACCGGGTTCTAGTCCCGGTTGGGGCGCCAGATTCTGTCCCGGTTGCTCCTCTTCCTGTCCAGCTCTCTGCTGTGGCCCGGGAGTGCAGTGGAGGATGGCCCAAGTGCTTGGGCCCTGCACCCCATGGGAGACCAGGAGGAGGCACCTGGCTCCTGGCTTCGGATCAGTGCAGTGCGCCGGCTGCAGCGGCCATTGGAGGGTGAACCAACAGAAAAGGAAGACCTTTCTCTCTCTCTCTCTCTCACTATCCACTCTCACTCTGCCTGTCAAAAGAAAAAAAAAGGGGGGGTGGTGGTGGTGACAGTGAGGAGCCAGGGGAGGAGGTGGGAGACTGTGTCCATGGTCCGGCTGGCCTTGCCTCTCCCGGAGAGAGGGAACAGGCACCTACAGAGAAGGGGATGGAGACTGGGTGGGGGTGGCCGGGGGGGGGGGCAGAGGCAGCGCCCTCCCGCTGGGTCCTCCCAGGTATCCTAAATGGCTCCACCTGTGGGGGTCCAGCTTCTCCCTCTTCCCGTGGGAAGGCAGTGAAATACCAGGCCCAGAGCAGGGGAGCTGGCCCACTTCCTAAGGGAGATGGTGGAGCAGGGTGAGCAGGGTCCTGGCCCCCGCAGGCCCTTTCTCTGCCCCGTGCCCCCCATCCTGTCCTGGCCCACACTGCTGGCTGCAGGCGCCCTGCAAAGCCAGACGCAGAGCCTCAGTTTCCTCATCTGCAGGAGGGGCAGGTGGTGGGGAGAAGGTGCCGGGACTTGGGGGCGGTGACAGCCTGGGATCCCTACATGGTGTGGGTGCCCCCGCCCCCCACTCTGCGCAGGCCTAATTCCTGCAGGTGGTGCTGGCCCTTTAAGGCAGGCATCACAGCTGCCCCCAGATAGGGCCTTTGGAGCAGAAAATTAATTTAAATCACTTTTTAATTAAAGATGCAAAGCTCTTCCATCACTCCTGGGGCAGGGTGTGCACGGGGCAGAGACAGACACATAACTGAGACTTGCAGTGGGGGACCCAGGAGGGGCCCGGGTCCCAGCCTCAATCCCCGTGTGTGGGAGGGGGTGCTGAGGTCGCTCTGCCCTTGGAGTGGCTCAGGCTGCCCCTGCACACAAGAGTGGGTTTGTGTGAGAGTCCGCGTCTCCGGGCGCGGCAGGAGACACGGAGAGGCCGCAAGGACCTGGGCCCCCGAAACCTGGCAGCAGGGCCCGGGCTCCCGGGTCTGAGTCGTTTAATGAACAGAAGCAGTGAGATGTTGGGAAGGGAAGAACCCGACAGCCTGGGGTGAAGCTGCTGGGGAGGCCGAGGCCTGGTGCGGGGGACACCCCCGGCTCTCTCAGCCCCTCCCCCTGGGGAAGGCCAGGCGGGAGCGGGGACACCCCCCCCCCCGCTATCTCAGCCCCTCCCCAGTCTGTCTCAGGGTGTCTGCCTGCCCTGTACACACCCCGCCCCAAGGGCTGTGGGTCTCTCATTTGGACTGAGGACCCCTCCTCCATTCTGTCTCCCTTCTGTGGTCCCTGGACCCTCCCCCCCAACCCCAGGGAGGCCTGGTGCCTCTGGGAGGGGCTCCTGGGTGTCTGGTGGTGGCCTCCGCTTGTGTGTGCATCCCACGGGGGGCTCCCAGGAGTAGGTGGGGGCCTCTCAGCTGCCCCTGCTTGGTGCTGGCCTTCAGTCACCACTGGGTGCAACAGCTGGGGGTCAGGCAGCCACTGTCCCCAGGGACACCCGGGGGCCCCAGGAGCAGCTCAGAGGCTGTGGGACAGACGGGGGGGGGCAGGGCCTGCTTGGAGCGCTCCCCAGCTCCCAGCCTCAGTTTCCCCTCCCCCTCCTCCCTGAGCTCCAGGCTCTCTCCGGCTCCTTTGCTCTGGTGGGGGTCCCCACGGGTCCTTGTTCACTTTCCCTCCCTGCACATCTCTCCTGGGATAATCTCGGATCCCCTCCCCTCCGCATCTCTGCTTTGCTGCCTCTCCCTCACTCTGGCTCCCCAGGACCCCGCCCCTGCCCACCAGGCTCCAGGAGGAGGAAACATTTATCCTCGTGGGCCCCCGCCCCGTGCTGGCCTCCAGAGACATCCATCATGACACCAGCCGGCAGCTCATTTGTCACGGCTCCGGCCGGCCGCCATGCCAAGCCGCCGAAGTCTTGGCCCTGGCCCCGCACAGGCCATGGGATGACCTGGTCTGGCCTGAGGGGCGGGGCGGGGCGGGATTTGGACTCCTCCACCTCCTCCACCTCCTCCCCTCTCTCTGTCCCTGCCCTTCTGCCCTCTTGGTCTCATCTGCTTCCTCAGCAGCTCCTTTCTGGGCCCCTCCCCATTCGGGCTCTCTCTGTCTCCCTCCTCCTCCCCCTCCCCCTCCCGGGCCCCTCCCTGCCCTCTTGCGCTCTGGCCTAGCTCACTCACTGTCTCCAGGCACCTGCCGCCGCCTCAGGCTGCGTGTGCGGCTGAGGGGTCCGGCTCGGCCTCCTCCCTGCCGTCTCTGGGCCCGCACATTCCCCAGTCTCTGGGTTTCCCTGTCCTCACTGCTCTGGACCCTGTGTTTCTCTGCTCCGCCCCCTGGCATCTGTCTCCTTCCCCGCGCCCGCGGCCCCTCCTGACCCCAGCTGCCCCTTCAATCCATCATCCCCGACACGTCCTCCCCTCTGCCTCGCAGGGAGGGGGTGGGAGGCAGCAGAGGGGAAGGAGGAGAGCTCAGCCCCAGCCCCACTCTGGCCCTGCAAACCCAGGCAGGGAGGTGCTCGCGGGGCATGTGGGCAGGATGCGGGGAGGCCCCAGCGGCTCCCAGCAGTGCAGGAGCCTCGGCGACCGGGGCTGGGGGAGAGGAGGCCCCAGGCCAGCAGTGCCTTCTCCCCCGCTGCCCATCCGCCACACCAGCACCTGCGACCTTGTGCTGTCTGCCGGGGGTAAGGGTGGGGTTGCAGGGGGGCTGCACCCCCGGGGATGAGCCTGGAGCCCAGGAGCTGCCCCACAGGAGCGGCTGGGTAAATCCCCCAAGTCAGTCCCTGCTCTCCGCGGGCCGGTGGGAGTGAGCCCCTCCCCCGCAGTGCTTCCCTCCAGTGTCCCCCTCCCGGGATCGCGAGGCCGCCTGGCCTGGGCCGGGCCTGTGGTGCTCAGCGGGGACACAGGCCAGAGAGGGACGTGGCGGTGGCAGCTGGGAGACAGCGGCTCCCTGCTGTGCGGGCTCACTGCAGGCGACCACGGTGCCCGCTGTTGGAATCAGCTCCCCAGGAGAAAGGCTCGGAGGGAGGAGTTCCCGGGTGAGCCTGGCCACCACCACGGCCACGCCACCGCGTTAGGAAAAGAGCGGGAGGGGGGGGCGCCGCGGGGGCGGGGGCGCCAGCCGGGGACGACGCACACACCGGCTCGCCCACCGTCCACTGCCGTCGGTCTGCGTGGAATCGGAGCTGTCCGCTGCGTTGCTCCGGCGGGGGGCGCCAGGACAGACGCCAGCGTCGCCTCTTCTGCCTGCCGGGGGTCTCTCTGGGGTCTGGTAGGCCGGCGCCTTTGAGTGGCTCTTGGTGCGCTGTGTGCATGGCGCCCCCTCCCGGCAGGGGCCCCCTCTCCAGGGAGGACGCCTGTGGGGCTCACCGGGATGGCACCCCCTTCAAGGCCCTGACCTCGACACTTCCTGCCAGTCCCTCAAGAGATGTCTTCTGTCCTGCGATTAGGACAAGGACGTCTTTGGGGCAAGGGGCAGAGGAACGGGACTTGAACCCAGCGACAATATGGGATGCAGGCGTCACAACCAAACCTGCTAGCAATGTCCCTTTCAAAGCAGACCCAGCCAGCGTCCCCGCAGAGGAGCCACACCCCGATCATCGCATACGGCATCTGGGTGTTGGAATGTCGCACCGAGCCCCACAGACGCACACATTTGCTGTGGATTCAACCTCAAATGCGAAGGGGGGGCGGCCCCGCCCGCTGAGAGGGGGCTTCGTGCAGGTTCCAGCACCAGCCCAGCTCTGACGTGATCGCGGCTGCAGGGGGACCTCAGAGCGGGAGCCCCACCCGGCCGCAAGCAGCCACAGGAGACACTGGTGCCGAAAAACACCTCGGCTTAGGCTTGGCTTATCCAGCAGTAGATACACACTCGTGCACACACCCACACATGCATGCTCCGTACACAGGCATGTTCATACATGCAGGGGCACACATGCGCTCACATATCCTCAAACACACCAGCTCACATTCATTTGCGCCCAATACATTCACACCCACACACATGCTCATACACACGCAGTCTGAAGCTGCAGGCACCTGCCTCTTGGGCCCCCTCATCTCCCTAGCCCTGGTCGTCCATGTGCCCCTTAAATGTTGGGGTACCTCAGGGCACCGCCTCCATCCCTTCCACACACCAGACACCAGCTCATACCTGTGCCTCCAGCGTTGCGCACCTGGCAAATCCTCAATCTCTCAAGACCCGGTCTCCCAGGTGTCCCCCGGACATCTCCTCTCTGCACACCCCCCATGTCACATAGGCACCTCCTCAGCATGCACCCCCCCCCGAACCGTCTCCTGATCCCACCTGGTTCCCCACACCCAGGAGAGCCCTCCCTCCCTGAGCTGGACCTCCACGCTGCACACTGGCTCCAGGCTCAGGAGCATGCCCCACACCTGCTGCCTCTTTAAAAGTTGTACTGTTGGCCGGCGCCGTGGCTCACTAGGCCAATCCTCCACCTAGCGGCGCCGGCACACCGGGTTCTAGTCCCGGTCGGGGCGCCGGATTCTGTCCCGGTTGCCCCTCTTCCAGGCCAGCTCTCTGCTGTGGCCAGGGAGTGCAGTGGAGGATGGCCCAGGTGCTTGGGCCCTGCACCCCATGGGAGACCAGGAAAAGCACCTGGCTCCTGCCATCGGATCAGCGCGGTGCGCCGGCCGCAGCGCGCCGGCCGCGGCAGCCATTGGAGGGTGAACCAACGGCAAAAGGAAGACCTTTCTCTCTGTCTCTCTCTCTCACTGTCCACTCTGCCTGTCGAGTAAAA